CTTCCAGCCCTGATGTGTTACCCCCGGGGCTTCCCCCATGGGTGTGTTACCCCGGGGGGCTTCCAAACCATGATGTGTTACCCCCGGGGCTTCCCGCCAAAGTTTTGGTTTTCCCCCCGGGGCTTCCAGCCTGTTTTGGGTTTCCCCCCGGGGCTTCCAGCCAAAGATGTGTTACCCCCCGGGGCTTTTCCCGCCATGATTTTGTTACCCCCGGGTCTTCCAAACCCTATGTTTTACCCCCGGGTCTTTCCCGCCATGATTTTTGTTCTCCCGGGGTTCCCGCCCATGATGTGTTTTTCCCCCCCGGGTTTTCCAAACCATGATGTGGTTACCCCCGGGTCTTCCCCATGGTGTGTTACCCCCGGGGGCTTCCCGCCAGGGTGTTTTACCCCCCCGGGTCTTTCCCGCCAAAAGATTTTTTTAAAACCCGGGTTTCCAGCCCCTGAAATTTTTACCCCCCGGGCCCTTTTCCAGCCATGATGTGTTTCTCCCGGGTCTTCCCCCCATGATGTTTGGGCCCCCCCTCTTCCAGCCATGATGTGTTTTCCCCCCGGGGCTTCCCGCCATGATGTGTTTCCCCCCGGGTCCTTTCCCGCCATGATTTTTTTACCCCCCGGGGCTTCCGCCAAAGATTTTGTTCCCCCCCCGGGGCCCTTCCCCGCCATGGGTTTGGTTTTCCCCGGGGGGGGGTTCCAGCCTTTATGGTTTCCCCCCGGGGCTTCCAGCCTTTAAGTGTTGGGTCCGGGTTTTTCCAGCCATGATGTGTTGGCCCCCCCGGGCTTCCAAACCAAAGAAAGTGTTAACCCCCGGGGCTTTCCCGCCTTTTTGTGTTACCCCGGGTCTTCCAGCCCTGATGTGTTAACCCCCCCGGGGCTTCCAGCCATGATGGGTTTTCCCCCCCGGGGGTTCCAGCCATGATGTGTTACCCCCCGGGTTTTCCCGGCCCCTGATGTGTTTTCTCCCCGGTTTTTTCCCCAACCCTGATGTGGGTTTCCCCCCGGGCTTCCAGCCAATGATGTGTTTTTCCCCGGGGCTTTTCCCCCATATGTGTTACCCCCGGGTCTTTCCCGCCATGATGTTTTTGCTCCCGGGTCTTCCAGCCCTATGTGTTCCCCCGGGGGCTTCCAGCCATGAGTGTTTACCCCCGGGTTTTTCCGACTCTCATCTAATCAATCTTTTCCTATCACATTTTTACTTTTTTCCATAGTAAGACACTTCACCCACATTAATGACTTTCTGATGATTAAATTTTCCTGGTGAATTCCCCCGGGTTTTTTTAACTCCCCTTTAAAAATTTCCCCCAAAAAATGGGGGTGATACATCAATTTCTTTAAACATTTTAGGTTTTTTAAAATTCCCCAAGTATCACCCCCCCTTTTTACCCTTTCCCCCGGGATTCCTTCAAAACTTGTCAGCAACCCCGTTGGGTTTAATTCCCCAGTAGTTCCCCCAACACTTGTCAGGGACCAAGGGTTTTTACTTTTCCCCGTAGGGTTTCCCCCCCAAAACTTGACAGCAAACCCAAATGGTTTTACTTCCTCCCGTAGTTCCTTCAACACTTGTCAGCAAACCCAAGTTGGGGTTTCCCTTTCCCCAGTTGTTCCCCCCAAACACTTGACAGCAAAGTGGTTCCCTTCCTCAAATTTTCCCCCAACTTGCAGCACCAAGTGGGTTTACTTCCTCATTAGTTCCCTCCCAAAACTTTTTAAAAGCACCAAGGGTTCACTTCCCCCAGTATTTTCCTTTTAACACTTTGTCACAACCCAAATGGGGTTTACTTCCCCATTTTGTTTCCCCCAACACTTGACCGCAAACCCAAATTTGGGTTCCCCCTTCCCAGTAGTTCCCTTTAACACTGACCAAACACCAAGTGGTTTTACTTCCTCAGTATTTCCTTTTAACCCCTTGACCCGCACCAAGTGGCTCACTTCCCCAGTAGTTCCTTCAAAAACTTTTTCAGACCAAGTGGATTTAATTCCTCAATAGTTTTCCTTCAACACTTGACAGAAACCCAAATGGGTTTTTACTTTCCCTAGTAGGGTTCCCTTCAAAAAAATTTACAGGGCCCAAGTGGGGTTTACTTCCTCAGTAGGGTTTCCCCCAACACTTGACCCGCACCAAATGGTTTTACTTCCCCAGTAGTTTTTTTCAACACTTGTCAGCACAAGTGGTTCACTTTCCCAAATAGTTTTCCCTTAAAAACTTGACAGCACCCAAATGGTTCAAAATTCCTTAGGGAGTTCCTTCAAACACTTTGGCCCGCACCAAGTGGGTTTACTTCCTCAGTAGTTCCTTCAAACCCTTACCGCACCCCAAATTTGGGTTTACTTCCCATTTTTCCTTCAACACTTGAACACACCAAATGGGTTTACTTCCCAGTAGTTCCTTCAACCTTGACAGCACGAAGTGGTTCATTTCCTAAGTAGTTCATTCAACACCCTTGGCAGGGACCAAATGTTCACTTCCTCATTTGGTTTTCCCTTTAACACTTGACAGCCCAATTGGGTTTACTTTCCCCAGTAGTTTAAATTTAAAAAATTGACAGAAACCCAAATTGGGTTTACTTTCCTCATGTTTTCCTTTAACCTTGGGCAGCACGAAGTGGGGTTTCCCCTTTCCCAAGTGTTTTTTTCAACCTTGACGCCCAAGTGGATCACTTCCCCCAAATAGTTCCCTTTAACCCCTTGAAAAAAAAAACACCAAATGGTTTATTCCCTTTAAATAAATTTTTTCAACCCCCGACCCGCACCAATGGTTTTCCCCTTCCTCAGTAGTTCCTTCAACACTTGACAAACACCAAGTGGGTTTACTTCCTCAGTAGTTTTCCCTTAAAAACTTGACAGCACCCAAAGGGGTTTTACTTCCTCGTAGTTTTCCCTTTAACACTTGGCACACCAAGGGCCCCACTTCCTCAGTAGTTCCTTTAAAAACTTTACAGCACCAAGTGGGGGTTTACTTCCCTATTTCCTTCAACACTTGGCCCGCACCAAATGGTTAAATTCCTTTAGTATTTTCCCCTTAACACTTGAAAAGCACCAAGTGGTTTAATTTTCCCCAGTAGTTCCTTCAACCTTGACAAAACACCAAGTGGTTCCTTCCTAGTAGTTCCTTCAACAATTTCAGCCCCAAGTGGTTCACTTCCTCAGTGTTTTCCCTTCCCAAAAAACTGGAGCACCAAGTGGGTTTCCTTTTCCCCATAGTTCCTTCAAACTTGGAGCACCCAATTTGGGGCACTTCCTCATAGTTCCTTCAACATTTTAAAAGCACCAAGGGGTTTTCCCTTTCCCCATAGTTCCTTAACAAATTTAAAAGCACCAAAGTGTTCACTTCCTCCCGTGGGTTTCCCTTTAACACTTTTTTCAGCAAACCCAAGGGGGCTCAAATTTTCCCAGGGAGTTTCCTTTTAACAACTTGACGGCCCCAAATGGGGTTTAAATTCCTCATAGTTCCCTCAAAAAATTGGCCCCGCCCCCAAAGGGGTTTACTTCCCAGTAAATTCCTTTTCCCCAACCCCCCACCCCGCCCCCAAATGGTTTACCTTTTCCCCAGTAGTTTCCCTTTAAAACTTGACAGGTGGTTCCCCCTGTGTTTCCTTCAACAAAAATTGGGGGGAGCCCCCAAGTGGCCACTTCCTTCCCTTTGTTCCCTTTAAAAACCCCGGGCCCGCCCAAAGTGGTTCCCCTTCCCCAGTTTGTTCCCCCCAACACTTGGGAGCACCCCAATTTGGGTTTACTTTACCCCTTTTAAACTCTGCCCTGGGCCCCGATTTATTTAAAAAACACATTACGGATTTTTGCTGGCTCACTGGCTTTCCTTTTCCCGGGGAGGGATTTTTTAAAAATTTTTAGTGTGATTCTTTTTTTGGGGTTTTTTCTGTGTTTAAACGCTTTAATTTTCTTTTACCTTCTTCGTAGCTGCCATCTCTCTTACGTACTTTTTTGGGCATCTAATAGACGAAACGTTTTTTGCCAAAGAGTGGGCTTGTTCAATTTGGGGCTTTTAAGACCCTCACTCGTAAAAAAACGTTTCCTTTAAAAAGATGTCCAGGGGCCTGTACATAAGTAAATTTTTTCCCCTAGGGTTTCCCCGGGGGCCCGCTAGGGTTTTTAAAGGGGGAAAAAGCCTAGGCTTTTCGGGGATCTGTAGGCTTCACCCGGGGAACCCCCTTGGGTTTCTCGGTTGGAACCGGGTAGGCTTCACGGTGACCTTTTTTAGGCTTCTCGGGGATCTTTCTAGGCTTCTCGGGACCTGCTTGGGTTCCGGTGGGCCTGAAGGGTTTTCGGTGGCCTGTAGGGTTCAAAGGTGACCGGGTAGGCCTTTTCGTTTAATCTTCTGGGGGTTTAGGGGAGTGCTAAGGGTTCTCCCGGGGATCTGGGGCCTTTTCGGTGATCTGCAGGCTTCACGGTGACCCCGCGGTTTTTCCCCCCCCCCCCCTGACCTGCCCAGGCTTTTCGGTGACCTGCTAGGTTTCTCGGTGGCCTTCTAGGCTTTTCGGTGACCTGCTAGGTTTCTCATTGGGCCTGCTAGGCTTCTCCGTGATTTCTAGGCCCTTTTCGGGACCTGCTAGGGTTCACGGTGACCCCGCTAGGGTTTTGGGGCCCGTCTAGGGTTCACGGTGACCGGGTAGGCCTTTTTGGTGATCTGCTAGGGTTCTCGGGACTGCTAGGGTTCCGGTGATTGCTAGGTTCACGGTGGGGACTAGGGTTTTTTCCGGTGACCTGCTTTGGCTTCTTCGGTGACCTGCTAGGCTTCCGGTGAACCTGCTGGCCTTTCGGTTCCTGCTAGGCCCCTTTTCCCGGTTTATCGCTAGGCTTCCTTTGGTGATCTCTAGGTTCACGGTGATCTGCTAGTTCACGAAGAGCTGGGTTTGGGTTCACCCATTTTACCTGCCAGTTTTTACGGGTGACCCGCTTAAATTTTACGATGACCCCGCTAGGTTTCACGATGACCTGAGGTTTCACGATGACCGTCGGTTTTTACGATGACCGCAGGTTTCAAAGATGACCTCCCAGGCTTCAAAAGATTTACCTGGGTTGGTTTCACGAAAGTCTGCTAGGGTTTTACGATGACCTGTCCCGGGTTTTTACGATGGAAATGCTAGGGTTCACGATGGGGGGGGCCCCGCTGGGGTTCACGATACCGCTAGGCTTTCACGATGACCTGTTTGGGTTCACGATGACCGCAAGGGTTCACTATGACCTGCTAGGCCTCACGGTGACCTGCTAGGCCTCACGGTGACCTGCTAGGCTTCACGGTGACCTGCTAGGCTTCACTATGACCTGCTGTGCTTCAGCACTTATCATTACTGATAATGTCTCTGACGTGCTGCCTCGTGTTTGTCTCTCAGATTATCCTCCCTCCTCCCCCCTCCATGACTTCGTCCCCCCATCACTCTCTCCCTCCTTCACTCCCTCCCTCCATCCTACTCTCATCCCTCCCTTTCATTCCTTTCTCTTCCAGCTCACTACCTCATCTTGTTCTTGTTCTTGCTTAAAAAACTCGTTGACAGGATTCGTAGGCTCCACAGAGGCTCCTGGTCTTCACTCAGCCGCGGGTCCAGCCTCGAGGATCACCGTCTTCATCATGAACTGGACACGGGGTCATCCCACACTCACTAAAAACAATGGTTATAGCCCCACTCCACGAAGGTGACAGTAAAGCAATAGCAAAGAATTACGGGTACTAACGTTCCATACCATAAGAATCTTTGAAAGGGTTCTAGGAATCAAGATTGCCACCCATTTGATACCCAACAACTGCACAACCCAGGACACCCTGGGTTTAGAGCAGGTCGCTCTGCTTCTGCCGGGTTCGATTCCCGGCAAGGGTAGAAACATTGGGCGTGTTTCCTTTCACCGGTTCACAAATCAGTAAAATGGGTACCTGGGTGCTAGCCGACTGGTGTGGGTCGCATCCTGGGACAAAATTGACCTAATTTGCCCGAAATGCTCTCCATAACAAGCGGCTTTCTGTACAGTAGTATGTCACTGATACCAAGTACATGTACTTTTAGAAATAAAGATGTTATTATTATTATTATTATTATTATTATTATTATTATTATTATCATTATTAACATTATTATTATTAACTACTGAACCACTGTAACATGGTCTTGGATGCTCTGAAGGACAAACAAAACGCAGATGTAGTACACACAAACTTTGCAAAAGCTTTTGACCAATGCGATCATGGTGTAATAGCGCATAAAATGTGTATTACAGGAATTACAGGAAAGTGGATGGATAGATCTTCAACTTTCTAAACAATCGACCACAAAGAGTAATGGTAAAGATAGTTAAGTCGGAAGCTTCCACAGTGTAAAGCTCTGTTCCACAAGGCACAGTACTCGCCCCCATCCATCCTGTTCCTCATCCTCATATCAGACACAGACAGAGATGTAAACCACAGCACCGTGTCTTCTTTTGCAGACGATATTAGACTCTGCATGAGAGTGTCATCCACTGAGGACACAGTAAATCTCCAAGATGATATAAACCAAGTTTTCCAGTACACTACAAACTCTGATCATGCAATACAGCGGGAAAGTAATGTGAAGGACCTGGGAGTGGTAATGTCAGAGGATCTCACCTTCAAGGATCACAACAATGCCACTATCACATCTGCGAGGAGACTGATAGGATGGATAATGAGAACATTCAAGACAAGAGATGCCAAGCCAATGATGATCCTTTTCAAATCACTTGTTCTCTCTAGGCTGGAATACTGCTGTACATTAACATCTCCATTCAAGGCAGGTGAAATTGCAGATCTAAAGAATGTACAGAGAACCTTTACTTCACACATAAGTTTCGTCAAATACCTTTAACTAATGGGAACGCTTGGAAGCACTTGACTTGTACTCACTAGAGCGCAGGCTAGAGAGATACATCATAATCTACACCTGGAAGATCTTAGAGGGACTGGTCTCAAATCTGCACACATAAATCACTCCCTACGAAAGCAAAAGACTGGGCAGACGGTGCAATATACCCCTAGTTAAAAGATGGGGCGCCACGAGTACACTAAGAGAAAACATAATAACTGTCAGGGGCTCAAGACTGTTCAACTGCCTCCCAGCAAACATAAAGGGTATTACCAATAGACCCCCGGTTGTCTTCAAGAAGCCGCTGGACAGACACCTAAAGTCAGTAACTGGCCAGCCGGGCTGTGGCTCGTAGGTCGGTTTACGTACGGCCACTAGTAACAGCCTGGTTGATCAGGTCCTGATCCACCGCGAGGCCTGGTCACGGACCGGGCCGCGTGGATGTTGACCCCCAAAACCCCTCTTCAGGTAAGTAGGAGTTGCACTCAACCACCTCGTCCCAGCTGGTCCAAACAACCACCTCAACCCAGCTGGTCCACGTAATCACCTCAACCCAGCTGGTCCACACAACCACCTCAACTCAGTTGGCTCACGCAACCACCTCAACTCAGCTGGTCCACGTAACCACCTCAACTCAGCTGGTCCACACAACCACCTCAACTCAGTTGGCTCACGCAACCACCTCAACTCAGCTGGTCCACGTAACCACCTCAACTCAGCTGGTCCACACAACCACCTCAACTCAGTTGGCTCACGCAACCACCTCAACTCAGCTGGTCCACGTAACCACCTCAACTCATCTGGTCCACACAACCACCTCGTCCCAGCTGGTTCACACAGCTCACCTCGTCCCAGCTGGTTCACACAACTCACCTCGTCCCAGCTGGTTCACACAACTCACACTCGTCCAGCTGGTTCCACACAACCACTCGTCCCAGCTGGTTCACACAGCTCACCTCGTCCCAGCTGGTTCACACAACTCACCTCGTCCCAGCTGGTTCACACAACTCACCTCGTCCCAGCTGGTTCACACAACTCACCTCGTCCCAGCTGGTTCACACAACTCACCCTGCACTGGTGGCAGGAAGACGCTCACCTTGTTGCAAACTCATTTTCGTTATCTTAATTATATTTCTGGTATCTGCTGGTAGTGTGGTGAAGAGTCTTGGTCCACTGACGTTGACACAGTATGGTGAAGCGTCTTGGATCTGCATTGTAAACTGAGTGTACTGTGTTGCACTAGACTGTGGTGGTGATCTGAGTGTACTGTGTTGCACTAGACTGTGGTGGTGATCTGAGTGTACTGTGTTGCACTAGACTGTGGTGGTGATCTGAGTGTACTGTGTTGCACTAGACTGTGGTGGTGATCTGAGTGTACTGTGTTGCACTAGACTGTGGTGGTGATCTGAGTGTACTGTGTTGCACTAGACTGTGGTGGTGATCTGAGTGTACTGTGTTGCACTAGACTGTGGTGGTGATCTGAGTGTACTGTGTTGCACTAGACTGTGGTGGTGATCTGAGTGTACTGTGTTGCACTAGACTGTGGTGGTGATCTGAGTGTACTGTGTTGCACTAGACTGTGGTGGTGATCTGAGTGTACTGTGTTGCACTAGACTGTGGTGGTGATCTGAGTGTACTGTGTTGCACTAGACTGTGGTGGTGATCTGAGTGTACTGTGTTGCACTAGACTGTGGTGGTGATCTGAGTGTACTGTGTTGCACTAGACTGTGGTGGTGATCTGAGTGTACTGTGTTGCAGATAATATTTCTGATAAGTTGGTCATTATCTGTGATTATTAGATCTGTCGTATTTTCTAGTAATTTCAGATATTTACTGACTTACTCACATTTGTTTTCGTTTCTCAAAACACAAGTTAAAACAGATTTATGGTAAACCATAGAAAACCTCTTTAATTAAACAATTATGATAATAAAATACATACATACATACATATATATATATATTATATATATATATAATATATTTAATATATATAAATATATATATATTATATATATTATATATATATATATATATATATATATATATATATATATATATATATATATATATATATATTATATGTTAGATTTACTTTATGAAAAATAAATGAAAAATCACTTCAGTTTAATATCTGATTAAAACGCAATTTTTGGGAAACTGATTTTTCGACTTTTTTTTAGGAAGCAATACTCGAGAAATTTAAAGTGTTTGTGTGTTGTCTTCCGGCAGACTGGAGGCAGTGAGGCGCCACCTGAGTCTCGGCTCTGTGAGTGAAGGTAAGACTCTCTCTCTTATATTATTACGTAGTGTTGATTGATCTCCTTGATGCTGTATGTAGGCTGGTGGAGGGTAAGGGTGGGAGAGAGTGAGGGTGAGGGTGGGAGAGAGTGAGGGGTGAGGATGGACTAGAGCAGTGGTTCCCAAACTGGGGGTAAATTACCCCCTGGGGGTAATTTAACCATTTTTGGGGGGTAATGGAGGGGTGACAGAAAAAAAGTTATTAATTCTGAAAATCAAGAAAACAATGCGGTACCCGGTATGAGGATTATTGTTAACTTTGTCTTAGTATATAAAGTTGTAAAGTAAACCTATTATAAGTAAGTAATAAAGTTAAACCAAATAACAATAAACATCAAAAACTAATATACAGTATTAGAAAAGAAGAAATATATAGCTAAGTGTGTGGAAACCCAAAAGTATTTTGACAAGTATGCTTCAGGACAAAAGTCACTCAGTAGCCCAGATCGACCTGTCCAGTACGCGTCACTCACTTCCTGAGGCTGCCTCTATTTCACACTGTCAGTTTATCTGTGAGCATCAGCCGAGGTAGACATAAGCTGGTATGTATGTGTACTGCCCTGTGCAGTATATAGTTAGTATTTACCCACTGTTACTGTGAATTTGTAGCTATTATTAATTTTATATATAATGTATGTGTGGTTCTTACGTTTTCAATGGTTTTGCTAGGATTAGCAGAGTGTGCGAGGCTGTATACGTTCACGTTTAGCCATATATATCAATAATAACAACATTTTGTGAAAGGGGTAACATGCTTTATGTGGCATGTTAAATTGGGTAACAAGCTGAAAAAGTTTGGGAACCACTGCACTAGAGTGAGGGGTGAGGGTGTGAGAGAGTGAGGGGTGAGGGTGGGAAAGAGTGAGGGGTGAGGGTGGAGGAGAGTGAGGGGTGAGGGTGGAAGAGAGTGAAGGGTGAGGGTGGGGGAGAGTGAGGGGTGAGCTTGGGGGTTGTCAGGGGTGAGGGTGGGGGGTTGTCAGGGGTGAGGGTGGGGGAGAGTGAATGGTGAGGTTGGAGGAGAGTGAGGGGTGAGGGTGGGAAAGAGTGAGGGTGGGGGGTTGTCAGGGGTGAGGGTGGAGGAGAGTGAAGGGTGAGGGTGGAGGAGAGTGAAGGGTGAGGGTGAGGAGAGTGAGGGGTGAGGGTGGAGGAGAGTGAAGGGTGAGGGTTGGGGAGAGTGAGGAGTGAGCTTGGGGGGGTTGTCAAGGGTGAAGGTGGAGGAGAGTGAATGGTGAGGTTGGAGGAGAGTGAGGGGTGAGGGTGGGGGGTTGTCAGGGGTGAGGGTGGGGCAGAGTGGTGAGGTTGGAGGAGAGTGAGGGGTAAGGGTGGAGGAGAGTGAGGGGTGAGGGTGGAGGAGAGTGAAGGGTGAGGGTGGGGGAGAGTGAGGGGTTGAGGGTGGGGGGTTATCAGGGGTGAGGGTGGAGGAGAGTGAATGGTGAGTTGGAGGAGAGTGAGGGGTGAGGGTGGGGGGGTTGTCAGGGGTGAGGGTGGAGGAGAGTGAATGGTGAGGTTGGAGGAGAGTGAGGGGTGAGGGTGGAGGAGAGTGAGGGGTGAGGGTGGGGGTTATCAGGGTGAGGGTGGAGGAGAGTGAGGGGTGAGGGTGGGGGTTATCAGGGGTGAGGGGTGGAGGGAGTGAGGGGTGAGGTTGGAGGTGAGTGAGGGGTGAGGGTGGGGGGTTAATCAGGGGTGAGGGTGGAGGAGAGTGAATGGTGAGGTTGGAGGAGAGGTGGGGGTGAGGGTGGAGGAGAGTGAATGGTGAGGTTGGAGGAGAGTGAGGGGTGAGGGTGGAGGAGGTGAGGGGTGAGGGTGGGGAGAGTGAATGGTGAGGTTGGAGGAGAGTGAGGGGTGAGGGTGGGGGTTATCAGGGGTGAGGGTGGAGGAGAGTGAATGGTGAGGTTGGAGGAGAGTGAGGGGTGAGGGTGGGGGGTTATCAGGGGTGAGGGTGAGGAGAGTGAATGGTGAGGTTGGAGGAGGTGTGGGGGTGAGTGGTGGAGGAGAGTGAATGGTGAGGTTGGAGGAGAGTGAGGGGTGAGGGTGGAGGAGAGTGAGGGGTGAGGGTTGGGGAGAGTGTATGTGGTGAGTGTGGTAGAGTCAGGGGTGAGGCTACACCTCACTTCAAAGGTTATATCTTAACACAATACTAGTGAGGAGGGTGAGTGCCAACCAGTTGGCATACTGAGTGCCACACTCAAAGATTTATGCAGGTCAGCCCTCCCATCTGACACCAGCTGACTGGGGGGGGGGGAGAGTGAGAGAGCTGTGTACCATGATGGAATGCTGGAGCAATGGTAAGAATGAATGGGAAAGTGTTTTTCAAATTCAAATTCAAAGTTTATTCTCTATAAAGATTACAATGTTGAATTTACAGAATTTGGTTGTTGTGTGGTTTACATGTAGTTAAATAATGATTACAGAGTGTACCACTAGAACGCCTAGCATGGCTAGGCATTTCGGGCAGACTTAGTTTAATTCTTTATTTTAAAATATTACAAATTATGAGGTAAGTTTGTATTATGGCTAAGTGACTAAATACTAGTTTGTGAGTTTAGCAATGTGAATGCTTTTGTTTTGGCACAGTACATAGTTTCAGTATTGGAGTATCATAGGATTCATTATTTTAAGATTGAGATTAATATTTCTGTTTATGGTCAAATGGGGTGAGTGAGTGTAAGTGTGAACCACCAGGTGGTATTCGTGTAGTTAGTTGATGGGGTTTATCAGGGAGATAAGATGTTTTCTAATGGTAGTTTTGAAGGTGATGAATGTGTCTGCAGTTCTAGAGTTCTCAGGTAGGGTGTTCCAGATTTTAGGGCCTTTGACATACATTGAATTTTTGTAAAGGTTTAGTCGGACATGGGGAATGTCGTAGAGATGTTTGTGTCTGGTGTTATGCCTGTGGGTTCTGTCACAACTATCAAGAAAGCGTTTTAGGTCAAGGTTGATATTGGAGTTTAAGGTCCTGTAGATGTAGATTGCACAGTAGTAAGTGTGGATGTACTGAACAGGGAGTAAGTTTAGATCTATGAAGAGTGGGGGGTGTGTGTTGCCAGGGATGGGATTTAGTGATTATTCTTACTGCAGCTTTTTGTTGGGTTATTATTGGCTTTAGGTGTGTTGCTGCAGTTGATCCCCAAGCACAAATAGCATAGGTGAGGTATGGATAAATAAGTGAGTGGTATAGTGTGAGAAGGGCATTTTGCGGCCCCTTTGTATCGTATCTTGGAGAGGATCCCAACTGTTTTGGATACTTTTTTGGTTATGTGTTGGATATGGGTGCTGAAATTCAGGTTGTTGTCAAGGTATAGGCCTAGGAATTTGCCCTCATTATGTCTGGTAATTAGAGTGTTGTCGATCTTAATGTTAATTTGTGCATCTCCTGCTCTGCTACCAAACATAATATAGTAGGTTTTGTCAGTGTTAAGCGTAAGGTTATTGGCTGTCATCCAAGTCGATATTTTGATCAGCTCCTCGTTAACAATGGTGTTGAGGGTGGCAAGATTAGGGTGAGAGATGACACAAGTCGTGTCGTCAGCAAAGAGAATGGGTTTCAGGTGTTGGGATACGTTTGGAAGATCATTGATGTATATGAGGAAGAGCAGGGGACCAAGGACACTTTCCTGCGGAACTCCAGTATCAAGTGGCCGTGTTGTTGATGCTGTGTCTTTAATGGTAACATACTGATACCTATTAGTAAGGTAAGATTTGAAATAAGCAAGCGCATGGCCTCTTATACCGTAATGGTCAAGTTTGTGGAGTAGGATGTCGTGGTCTACTGTGTCAAAAGCTTTTCTTAGGTCAATAAAAATTCCTAGTGGATATTCCTTATATTCCAATGATGTGTAAAACAGATCTAGCATTTTTATGATTGCATCATTAGTGCTTTTATTTTTCCTAAATCCAAATTGGCAGGGGTTGAGTATGTTTTGTGCTGTTATAAATGAATATAGTCTCCTGTGCACGAGTTTCTCAAAGATTTTGGATAGCAATGGTAAGTTTGATATTGGCCTATAGTTGTTTAAGTCTGTAGGGTCACCACCTTTATGTTTGGTGTAACCCTTGCCATCTTGAGTAGTTTCGGGAAGGTGCTAGTTTCTAGTGACTTGTTAAAAAAGTAATGAAATAGCATGCGAAAGGATATGGGCCGCTCGCTTGTACAGTAATGGTGGGACATTAGACAGATTCCCTGAGTTGTTTTTAAGTGACTTTATAATCTCGGTGACTTCCGAGGGCTCAGTTGGTGCAAGATAGAAGGAATTTGGGAAATTCCCATCTAGGTAAGTCCCTGCATGGGCATTAGTATGTGGGATTTTATTTGGCGAGATTAGATCCTATGGTTGAGAAGAAGTCGTTTATCTTGTTAGCTGTGTCAGTGGGATGTAGTGGTGTTTCATTAGGTTTAGTTAGGACAATATTCTTGGTTTTTTTCAGTTTGTGGGTCCCTAGAATCTGAGAGAGTGTTTTCCAGGTCTTTTTTTATATCTCCTCTAGTGTCTGTGAATCTCCTGGAGTAGTTTTAATTGTTTGGCTTTCTTTATTACTTGGGAGAACTGATGAATAGTGGGTTTAAGAATATCTTTGTGTATTAAGCCCTGTCTATATTGCTTTTCATATTGGTGTTTCTTGTCAATGGGTTTCAGAATGGTGCTGGTTAGCCATGGGCAACCAAGCCGTTTTTTTTGTGATCTGTTTCGTTTTTATAGGACAATGTTTGTTGTATAGTCTAAGTAATTTGTTAAGAAAAATGTCTGTCCAGTCATCAATACCATTGGCCTTGGAGAATTCTGTAGGCCAGTCAACAATCTCTCGGTCAGTTGTGAACTTCCTTATTGAGGCCTCGTCATGGAGTCTAAATGAGACTTTGTTGTATTCAAGTGGTGGTTTATTAATGTTTGTCAGGAGGAAGGTAGGGTAGTGGTCTGTAGTGTTGGTACCTAAGGACGAAGTTGGTATCCATGGGGTGAAATCTGACTCCAAATTGAAG